ATGGTATCAATAATATTTATATCCTTGCTTCAGGTCCTGAGCTACAGGCAGTTAGATTTGGATATGTTGTTTTAGGCTTAAATTGAAAAAATGGGTCCGATCCTTAAGAGGTTTAGAGGTTAAAGATGAGTAGGTTACTGTAATACACTAGAGCAGTCCAAAGGTCTTTATGTCGTACATCTGCCATCTAGTGTTGGGATTCAACTATTACATCAGTGATAATCATGCCCACATGATGCTTGCTGAAAGTCACCAACATTTCATTTACATTACATTTAAGTCATTTAGCAGACGCTCTTATCCAGAGCGACTTACAGTTAGTGAATACATTTTTTTTTTTTTTTTTTTATACTGGCCCCCTGTGGGAATCGAACCCACAACCCTGGCGTTGCAAACGCCATGCTCTATCAACTGAGCTACATCCCTGCCGGCCATTCCCTCCCCTACCCTGGACGACGCTGGGCCAATTGTGCGCCGCCCATGAGTCTCCCGGTCGCGGCCAGCTGCGACAGAGCCATTTCCTCATCTTACAGTAAAACACCATAGAAATATTATCCAGTCACTATTTCTATGAAACACCATATAACCAATACATTACTTTGTAAACCTTTCTAAATTCACAACTTAAGTTGTGTGACCATAAACTTAGTAACACTGGATAACTTCATATTTCTAAAATGTTAGCAGTTAATTGACAAACCCTTTATAAACTATGTGTAGATTCTACCCTAAAGTAAAGTCTTAATACATTCTGCTTCTCTCAGCAGTGTACGGTCTCACTTTAAAACATGGATGTGGACGCAGTCAACAGACAATGAAATAGACAGAAAACAGAATTCTTGCTCATGTTTTATTATTATTAAGACCTCACTTCATACAGAGAGAGAGGATGGAAGAGAGCAAGAATATCTGAGAGGTTAAGATCTCAAGCTGCTGGTGCACCCTGGTTGGAATGGGTTTCATCACGCAGGTTTAGAACACAGCTAGATCTCAAGCTGCTGGTGCACCCTGGTTGGAATGGGTTTCATCACGCAGGAGACCAAGACCTCTTCTGCCACGCCCCCTCTTCTAATTCTTATTGAGTGGGAACGGGGTCGATGTAATATTGTAGAAAAGTGAAGCTAAAAGTCTGTTGATTGAATTGGAATCTCCCTATGGACGGTTGACAAAAATACAAAATCAGGTGATACACAATGTCTCCAGGGTTGGGATCAATTATTTCAATTCAGGAAGGTTACTGAAATTCCAATCACAATTACAATGTATCCTCCTTTAATGAGGAAATAATGAATTTCAATTGGAATTGGCCATAAGACGGACTGGCAGCCATTTTGAGTGTACCCATGCCAGGAAGTAAAAGAAGGAAGTGTACCCTTCAATCTGTGCTGTGATTTATTGAGTCAACTCATTTGACATTACAACAAATACAAGTTCAGCTTAAAAAACAAATAGAAAACCATCTTGTATCACAACGCATCTCATCTTTCTAAATATCTAATTTAACTGTATATAATAATAATAATATGAATATGTATATATGAATAGTGTGTAAATAGTATTTTTGCTGTCTCTTGGTGTCTTTCCAATGTATAACTTTTAAGTTTGATTGAGCTCTTTATCTATAAATGCTTTAAAGGAGTCAATCGAACTCGACCAAAACAATGGAATTGCAATGGAAACTCGTGGGGGAAACATTCAGAATCTCCTCATTGCTTATATGTGTATATCACACTATGTTGAGGTAGAAATCGGAGTATAAGGGTTGTATGGATGTCAACCATAACACATGTTCATGTCATTGTTATCAATCAACTGCATTATAGTTCAAGAACGACTTATATTAACGGGAGACAAATATATCAAAATCTGAATTAAGTAACCACATTGTGGGTCTGTTACAATACATAAATCATGACTGATTTAACAAATATCCACTTTGTTATATCAGATTTGTCGAATTGTGCACCAATCTGGTCAATGGAACGTCTGCATTCCATTGACTCCTTTACCCCATTTATTGTGAGTGTACCCGTGGGTTTACCAGTAAAATAGCCAGGGTTAGATCTTCCAAGCCCATTCTATTCACTATATTTCTATGGAAATGACCACAAAACGGATTCATGGTTGTTATGGGGTCACCTACATCCACTAACCATCTCATAGCAATTCATATCACGTAGCCTACAGAGTTGATTTGTTTTTAAATTCCAGTTGATGTTAAAACAATTACAAAGCCAAATACATAGCATTTTTGAATGTGTTTGATGGATTTTAATGTAGATTTGAAAAGTTGAATATTTATTTAATCAATGATTGATTAAAGAAATAAAACGTACCTGTCTGCAGCTTGCAGAACCATACCGAATAACTGTGGCAAGATGCTCACAATTATCATAAATAACATTGTATAATCCTTTACATCTTTTGTGCAGAGTTGTAATATCTTGAATCATGTCTTCAACTTTTCTCTTTTGGAAGCCTGGAGTATCCCTATAATTGTCTCGGTTAGGGGTACTGCCTTGTGTAACATCCTTGTCACGCCCTGGCTCTGGGGACTCTAATATGTTGAGCCAGGGTGTGTATAGTCTATGTGTGTTCTAGGTTTCACTTTCTGGTTTGGTATATCTATGTTGGCCAGGGTGGCTCCCAATCAGAGACGGCTTTAGCTCGTTGTCTCTGATTGGGAGTCATACTTAGGTAGCCGTTAGGCATTCATTGGGTGTGGTTTCTTGTTCGTATTTGGTTTGTGTTTGACCATTGACTGTCACGTCATCGTTTTGTTGTTTTGATCGTGTGATCATTTATTAAATAAATATGTTCGCCTTCAACGCTGCGCCTTGGTCCTCCTCTATGTATGACGATCGTGACAGAAGAAACCACCAAGATTTGACCAAGCAGCGTGTCCAGGAGCCATCGCCAGGGAGATCTCTAGCAGATCTCCTTCGCCTCCTCGACTGGGTCAAGCCGGGTGAGGAGGAGAAGGGCTTGACATTGTGGCAGAAGGGCGAAAGGCTGGCGAGGGACATGGAGACCTGGTCCACGGGTAGGAGAGACGCCCAGAATTTTTTTAGGGGGGGGCTAACGCCGTGGACGACGGGCCAGCAGGAGACCGCGGCAGAGCGGCCCAGCGGGTTGGCAGAGGAGGCCGCCAGGTTACGGGGGCCACTGGTCGAGGAGGGGGTGGAAGGTGTAGAGGCACGACGAGAGGTATTGGGGTGTGTTACCAGTCCGGTCCGGCCCATTCCAGATCCCTGCGTAGGACCAGTGGTGTGTGTCCCCAGTACGGTCCGGCCTGTACCTGCTCCCCGCACCAGGTCAGTGGTGCGCTTCGTCAGCCCGGCTCGGCCCGTTCCTGCTCCCCGCACCAAGTCAGTGGTGCGCTTCGTCAGCCCGGCTCGGCCCGTTCCTGCTCCCCGCACCAAGTCAGTGGTGCGCTTCGTCAGCCCGGCTCGGCCCGTTCCTGGTCCCCGCACCAAGTCAGTGGTGCGCTTCGTCAGCCCGGCTTGGCCCGTTCCTGCTCCCTGCACCAAGTCAGTGGTGCGCTTCGTCAGCCCGGCTCGGTCCGTTCCTGCTCCCCGCACCAAGTCAGTGGTGCGCTTCGTCAGCCCGGCTCGGCCCATTCCTGCTCCCCGCACCAAGTCAGGGGTGCGCTTCGTCAGCCCGGCTCGGCCCGTTCCTGCTCCCCGCACCAAGTCAGGGGTGCGCTTCGACAGCCCGGCTCGGCCCGCTCCTGCTCTCCACACCAAGCCAGTGGTGTGCGTCGTCAGCCCGGCTCGGCCCGTTCCTGCTCCCCGCACCAAGTCAGTGGTGCGCTTCGTCAGCCCGGCTCGGCCCGTTTCTGCTCCCCGCACCAAGTCAGTGGTGCGCTTCGTCAGCCCGGCTCGGCCCGTGCCTGCTCCCCGCACCAAGTCAGTGGTGCGCTTCGTCAGCCCGGCTCGGCCCGTTCCTGCTCCCCGCACCAAGTCAGGGGTGCGCTTCGACAGCCCGGCTCGGCCCGCTCCTGCTCCCCACACCAAGCCAGTGGTGTGCGTCGTCAGTCCGGCACGGCCCGTGCCTGTTCCCTGCACCAAGTCAGGGGTGCGCTTCGACAGCCCGGCTCGGCCCGCTCCTGCTCCCCACACCAAGCCAGTGGTGTGCGTTGTCAGTCCGGCACGGCCCGTGCCTGTTCCACCGGTGGCTGGTCCGGCACCGGTCAGATGCTTCACGCCGGAGCTAGAGCAATCCGCTCCACCAGTGTGCAGTCCAGCTCCGGCCAGCGGGGCCAGACCGGACCAGGGGTACCTTGGGGGGTTGGAGAGGGAGCGGGGATCAGGCCCGGAGCCGGATCCGCCGCCTAAGCGGAGTGCCCACCCAGTCCCTCCCCGGTGGTATTTGGTGGGCGCGGTCGGAGTCCGCGCCTTTGGGGGGGGTACTGTCACGCCCTGGCTCTGGGGACTCTAATATGTTGAGCCAGGGTGTGTATAGTCTATGTGTGTTCTAGGTTTCACTTTCTGGTTTGGTATATCTATGTTGGCCAGGGTGGCTCCCAATCAGAGACGGCTGTAGCTCGTTGTCTCTGATTGGGAGTCATACTTAGGTAGCCGTTAGGCATTCATTTGGTGTGGTTTTTTGTTCGTATTTGGTTTGTGTATTACCATTGACTGTCACGTCATCGTTTTGTTGTTTTGATCGTGTGATCATTTATTAAATAAATATGTTCGCCTTCAACGCTGCGCCTTGGTCCTCCTCTATGTATGACGATCGTGACAATCCTCCAGTTTGGCAAACACACAATCTGCATTTTGGGGATTTTTTTTCTCACCTGACAGCTATTTGACATGAGTAAGGGAGTAGAAATCTTTAACAAAGGATTTAAAAGGCTTATGTTTTATTGAAACTTTTGTCAACTTACCTGAGAACTGAAAAATATCCTCTCTAGTATTTTTACCTTGGATCTTTCTATTGCCCACGTAAATAGCATAGTGGCCATAGGATGTAAAGCCAATCATCTCCCGATTAAATTAGATGATATCCCCAAATGCATACTTAAAAAACAACAACAATTGAATAGGTGACACATCATTAGTTATTATGAGCAACCAATATTGTCAGATGCTAATTGCTAATCAAATCTCTGTTTATGTATGTAACGTTACATAACTTACAGCATTTAAAATATGGATACAATATGGATAAAGATGTAATATTAGCGCAGGAAATTTTTACACTGGTAGACAATGTTCACCTACTGAAAGTAATTTACATATTGGTTTATCAAGTTTGTTTTATAATTGTCACGGATTCTGCCGAGGCTGCTCCTCCTCCTTGCTCGGGCAGGCTTCGGCGTTCGCCGTCCCCGGAGTACTAGCTGCCACCGTTAGATGTTTCAGTGTTTGATTGCTTTTGTCTGTCTATTGCACCTGTGTCCATTTGTGTCTGATTATGTGTCCTATAAGTTGCCTGTTTTGTGTTGGTTAGTTTGTGTGTTGTTATTCGCCTGTCCGTTAGTGCTGCGTGTTTCCTCTGTTTGTTGTTTTTGTAGTTTATGCATAGTTTGCGTAATCGCTCGCCTCTGGTTTATGTTGAGGCCGTTCGTTTGTATTGTGCCTTGTGTAGCACTAGTAAACTTTGTTGGACTAAGCTTCGGTGTCCTGCGCCTGACTCCCACACCACATTCACCTCAGCCATTGACAGAACAACACACCACATATGGAGTCAGCAGGAGCAGCGGCGGCACCCAAGTCGCTGGAGGATCGGATCAGCGACCAAGACACCATGATCCGGCAACTTGGGGCCGCCATGAACGAGGTGTCCAACACTCTGCGCCGGTTGGTTACGGGAGAGGTGCCCACGCCTTCGCACACCTTACCATCACCATCGGCCAGTCCTCCTCTCCCAGCACCGGAACCCAGTGGCATTCGGCTCTCGCTCCCGAGGGCATATGATGGTTCTGCAGCCGGGTGTCAGGGGTTCCTCCTGCAGGTGGAACTCTACCTGGCCACCATACACCCGGTGCCCTCGGGATACGAGAGCGTCTCCGCCCTCATCTCCTGTCTATCCGGCAAGGCGTTGGAGTGGGCCAACGCCGAATGGAGGGGAATAGACGCCGCCACCATCACCTACGCGGAGTTCTCCCGCCGCTTCAGGGCTGTGTTCGATCATCCACCTGAGGGGAAGGCGGCGGGGGAGCGTCTGTTCCACCTCCGACAGGGGAAGAGGAGTGCACAGGAGTTCGCCCTGGAGTTCCGGACTCTAGCAGCGGATGCGGGGTGGAATGAGAGGGCCCTCATCGACCATTACCGGTGTAGTCTACGAGAGGACGTTCGTCGTGAGCTGGCCTGCAGGGACACCAACCTATCCTTCGACCAGTTGGTGGACATTTCCATCCGTCTCGACACCCTGCTGGCTACCCGCGGACGTCCCGAGTGGGGGTCGTCCATTCCACCCTCCAGCACCTCCGAGCCGATTCCCATGGAGCTCGGGGGTGCTGGTGCTAGGGAGAGGAGGAGAGAGATCCCGAGGGGGGCCGTCCCCTGCACCAACTGTGGCCGTGGAGGACACACTGCGGCTAGGTGCTGGGGAGGGTCTCCTGGGAGAGGGGACAACAGGTCACGCACTGGGGAGTCATTTCAGGTGAGTAGGCGCCCCACTTACCCAGAGCTCTCTGTTGGTCACCTGTGTATACCTGTGAGATTTCCACAGGTGGCACCTCATTCCCAGCATAAGGCGCTAGTAGATTCAGGCGCAGCTGGGAATTTTGTTGATCGTGAATTTTGTTATAGGTTAGGAATTCCCCTTAGGCCGGTAGAAGCCCTCTTTCCTGTTCATGCCCTAGACAGCCGGCCGCTGGGGTCGGGGTTGATCAGAGAAGTCACAGCACCACTTAAGATGACGACGCAGGGGGGTCATGAGGAGATCGTTCAGTTTTATCTGATCGACTCTCCTGCGTATCCCGTGGTGCTGGGGCTTCCCTGGTTAAGCGCCCATGATCCAACCATTGCTTGGCAACAGAGGGCTCTTATGGAGTGGTCTGCCCAGTGTGTAGGGAGATGTCTAGGTGTTTCCTTAGGGGCGACCTCAGTGGAGAGTCCGAACCAAGTGCCCGCAATGCGCATTCCCCCTGAATATGAGGATTTAGCACTTGTGTTCAGCAAAACTAGGGCAACACGGCTACCACCTCATAGACAGGGGGATTGTGCGATAGATCTCCAAACGGGAGCGGCTGTTAGGCCTACTGCTGCTAGGTAGCTCTCTCTGCTCTCTCCCTCCCCTCTGTCTGTCCTTGATTGCAGGAGTGAGGTCTGGTGTGCGGGAGTCAGGGTTCCAGCTGCAGCTCATTCACCATAATCACCTCAGCCTTTAAGACCCGGTCAAACTTACCACTCATCGTCAGATCATAGACGACCATGTTAGTCTCGCTGCCGACTCAACCTGGTTATTTTTTGCTCTTTGTGTTTTTGGTCTGTTCTATTTACTTTTTCTCCTGTGCCACAGATATTTGGAACCTGACTCCTGCCTCCGCTTCACTCCTGCCACCACCATCCTGCTCTCCACTACCGGACCTCTCTTTTGGACTCACCACGGACACTATGACATTACGGTACCACACCTGCCCTGATCTGGATCTGTTACCCTCCCTGTAACCTGGACTTGCTCTTCCCCTATATTTGGGAACCTGGACTTTGAACATTGTAAATAAACCTGTTAAAACTTCTCTGGCTTCGTGTACTTGTCTGCATTTGGGTTCTTATCCAGTTAAATCATAACAGCGGCACTTCCGCGGAGTCGTGTGTATCCCCTGTCTCAAGAGGAGACAGCGGCTATGGAGACTTACATAGCCGAGTCCTTGGCACAGGGATACATACGGTCCTCCACTTCCCCGGTTTCCTCGAGTTTCTTCTTTGTGAAGAAGAAGGACGGGGGTTTGCGCCCGTGTATTGATTACCGTAGTCTCAATCAGATCACGGTTAAGTACAGTTACCCTCTTCCTCTGATTGCGACTATGGCGGAGTCATTACGCGGAGCGCGGTTCTTCACAAAGTTGGATCTCAGGAGCGCGTACAATCTGGTGCGCATTAGGGAGGGGGATGAATGGAAAACAGCATTTAGCACCACCTCGGGTCATTACGAGTATCTCGTCATGCCATACGGATTAATGAATGCTCCTTCAGTCTTCCAATCCTTTGTTGACGAGATTTTCCGGGACATGCATGGGCAGGGTGTGGTAGTATACATCGACGACATCCTAGTGTACTCTTCTACACAAGCCGAGCATGTAGCCCTGGTGCGCCGAGTGTTGAGGAGGCTGTTGGAGCATGACTTGTATGTTAAGGCAGAGAAATGCTTGTTCTTCCAGGAGTCCATCTCCTTTTTGGGTTATCGGTTGTCCGCGTCTGGTGTGAAGATAGAGGTTGACCGTGTGTCGGCCGTGCGTAATTGGCAAACTCCAACCACTGTAAAAGAGGTGCAGAAGTTTTTGGGTTTTGCTAATTACTACCGGAGGTTTATCCGGGGCTTTGGACAGGTGGCAGCTCCCATTACGTCCCTGCTAAAGGGGGGTCCGGTGCGTTTGCAGTGGTCAGCTGAGGCGGACAGGGCGTTTGGTAAACTTAAGAACCTGTTCACTTCAGCTCCGGTGCTGGCGCATCCTGACCCCGCTTTTTCAACGTCCACAGGTGGGGGTTGTGCTTACAGCCCAACACCGTGCAGGACGTTTGGCATTTGCCAGAGAACACCAAGATTGGCAAATTCGCCACTGGCGCCCTGTGCTCTTCACAGATGAAAGCACGTGACAGAGTCTGGAGACGCCGTGGAGAACGTTCTGCTGCCTGCAACATCCTCCAGCATGACCGGTTTGGCGGTGGGGTCAGTCATGGTGTGGGGGTGGCATTTATTTGGGGGGGGCCGCACAGCCCTCCATGTGCTCGCCAGAGGTAGCCTGACTGCCATTAGGTACCGAGATGAGATCCTCAGACCCCTTGTGAGACCATATGCTGGTGTGGTTGGCCCTGGGTTCCTCCTGGCTGGAGTGTGTCAGCAGTTCCTGCAAGAGGAAGGCATTGATGCTATGGACTGGCCCGCCCGTTCCCCAGACCTGAATCCAATTGAGCACGTCTGGGACATCATGTCTCGCTCCATCCACCAACGCCACGTTGCACCACAGACTGTCCAGGAGTTGGTGGATGCTTTAGTCCAGGTCTGGGAGGAGATCCCTCAGGAGACCATCCGCCACCTCATCAGGAGCTTGCCCAGGCGTTGTAGGGAGGTCATACAGGCACGTGGAGGCCACACACACTACTGAGCCTCATTTTGACTTGTTTTAAGGACATTACATCAAAGTTGGATCACCCTGTAGTGTGGTTTTCCACTTTAAATTTGAGTGTGACTCCAAATCCAGACCTCCATGGGTTGATAAATTTGATTTCCATTGATAATTTTTGTGTGATTTTGTTGTCAGCACATTCAACTATGTAAAGAAAAAAGTATTTAATAAGATTATTTCATTCATTCAGATCTAGGATGTGTTATTTTAGTGTTCCCTTAATTTTTTTGAGCAGTGTATATAAAATAATAATAATAATAATTACAAATAATAATATATATTACTTTTTTTAAGACAAAAACAACAAAAAACAACAACAAAAAACATTTGTAAAGTGGTTGTCCCACTGGCTATCATAAGGTGAATGCACCAATTTGTAAGTCGCTCTGGATAAGAGCGTCTGCTAAATGTAATGTAAATGTATTTGTTCACTGTAATAGCTACTGTAAATTGGGCAGTGCAGTTAGATTAACAAGGATTTAAGCTTTCTGCCCATATAAGACATGTCTATGTCCTGGAAGTCCTACGTGCTTCTACACCTGCATTACTAGCTGTTTGGGGTTTTAGGCTGGGTTTCTGTACAGCTCTTCGAGATATTAGCTGATGTACGAAGGGCTTTATAAAATAAAATTGATTGATTGATTGGAAAGTTTGCTGTTACTTACAACAGTCATGCTAATCACATTAGCGCACGTTAGCTCAACTGTCCCGTAAACAGGACACCGATCCCGTAGAGGTTAATTTTTTTACTCTGCATCGTCGGGAAGGGCTCGTAAGCAAGTCACGGTAAAGTCTACACCAGTTATATTCGGCGCGTTGAACCCACAAAGTGCATTGATTATTTAAAAAATAGTTTTAACCGAAATTGAAAACCGTGAGGATTTTTCTACAATTGAACTGAAGCCGAACCGACCTCAAAAGGCACTAATCACTCAGCACTACCTCAAAGTATCACCACAAGAAAAAACAGAATAACTGACATAATGTACTGTAAATTAGTAGTTATATATATATATTTTTTATCTATCAATATAATAACAAAAACACATCAAGAGGCTATATATGGTTTAAAAATATTGGCTTGTCGTTTCAAAGAAAAAAAAAACATTTAATTGGACGTTAAATTGAATGCCTGAATTCTCACCAAAACTGTCTGGATTTCTTCATGCTATAATTCAGTCAATATTTGATATCTTGCTCCATTATGCAGCTGTTACATCACAATTGCCTTTTTGACTGTTTATTTCAACGGCCTTTGCTAGACAAACTGATGAAGAGACACCCACTGCCTCCTCTAATAAGACATTATGTTTTACTTACCTCCGGAGAGTAAGACGGGTGGATGTTGAAGTGAGAGGTGAAGGGTCTTCCCTGTTGAGAGGTGAGAGGTGAAGGGTCTTCCCTGTTGAGAGGTGAGAGGTGAAGGGTCTTCCCTGTTGAGAGGTGACAGTGAAGGGTCTTCTCTGTTGAGAGTTGAGAGTTGAGAGTGAAGGGTCTTCCCTGTTGAGAGGTGAGAGAGAAGGATCTTCCCTGTTGAGAGGTGAGAGTGAAGGATCTTCCCTGTTGAGAGGTGAGAGTGAAGGGTCTTCCCTGTGATGGTTAGAGCCTGTACTGAAGCTGGGAGAGGTGACCCTTTAAATACTGTTCTGACCAGATCCTTGACAATGGACCTTCTGTCTTGCTCTGACCCTAACAATTATAACACGTTAACCAGTTATCAGCTGCTTTGAATATGTTCTGATATTAAGCCCAAGTGGAGAGAGACATGATGGTGCACACTAATGAAGAATATACTGTATGTTGTCAAGACCTTGTACAGTTATCAACTGCATTCACAAAAAAAGTTAAAGTCAATGGAAATTATATTTATTTTCATTATTATGGTGACGTTAGGGTTTAACATTCGGTATAACTAAACATGTTGCAAGTTTCATTCTTGGGTTGAAATGTGATGAATTATTTTGAAATGAAAGGAATTCAGAACAAATGTTTTCTAAATGACCGTTATATTTCTGGTATATAGATATGTTTAGAATAAAATATTCTGTGGAACACTGTACTAAGCAGGATTTTCATAAGCAGACAGAGGTGGAGGACTGAGGAGATGAAGGAACTGATTAACATACTTCCTCCTTTCTAACAGGTCACAGCTGATTGGCCTGATGCCAATGGGAGTAGATCAATGATATGAGAGTTGAAATCCACAGTGGGCGTATCCAAATGAGAACTACTAGATGTCTGAATGCTAACTTTACTGAACACTTCTAGTAGTAAAAATCAAATGACATAAAATAACACCAACAAGGTGTTAAATGAATGAACAAAGACATTGTATAGACATTTGATTAACATTTATTAAAATCAGACTCATTGACGTAATAAACACAGAAATAAATGATACATTCATAAATGTGGTCTTATTTACATACATTAGTTTAGAATATGTTCATGGTTCAATGTGGGCCGTTTAGTTGATCAGTTCCTTGTGTTAACCTTCATAGTCCCGGGTCAAGAGCTGAAACAGAATCATACTTTATACACACTATCACACACAGGTTGTCAGAATACAGAACAATAACATGAGATATGATGCTTTGTGTTCTGTTCATCACCACTTAATAACTCTATTGGACATTGGTGTAGTGATATTGATCCTTCACATACTGTCCAGATGAACTTGTTACACCTTTCACTCTAGGGTCAAGAACACAGAGGGAATGGAATGGATGTGAAGGGATTCAGGATGAGGATGAGAATTGACGAGGTGAAGCCAAGGACTGTAGATGAAGGAACCAGGTGGTGGACCGTAGAGTTTGGGCTTGGAGTCCCGGTCGACATCATCATCAACCCATGGTAGGCAGGCTGCTGTGGTCCTCTGTAGCTCAGCTGGTAGAGCACGGCGCTTGTAACGCCAAGGTAGTGGGTTCGATCCCCGGGACCACCCATACACAAAAAAAATTATGCACGCATGACTGTAAGTCGCTTTGGATAAAAGCGTCTGCTAAATGGCATATTATTATTATGACAGTCCCCCTCAGGAGATCCTTGGAGGAACTTAAGCAATATGAGCTAATAGGTGGCGGAGGGATGCAATTCAGAACAGAGAGAAGGAACGTTAGTTTGGTCAGGTTTAAGTGGCAGTGGTGATTAAGGAGAGTGAGGACAGGTGTGGAGGATGATAAGCAATGAGTTACAGCTGGTGCTTATTGAGTTGCTGGACGAGCTACGTTCAAGGCAACTAGTTGAAATAGTTGTATTCAAGTCTGGTCCTATCTCCTGAACTTATGTAAATGTTTAACATTAAACACATTGTGATGCATTCTTTTCGAATTAAAGGAATTCAAAAAGTATATTTTAAAAAATAAAGATCTTTCTGGTGTCTGGGTATAGATTCGGACCAAAACAATTAACTTGTAACTCGTTTCACTCTAGGGTCAAGAACACAGAGGAACTAATGAGAATACCTGACTCCTCCCCAGTGGTCACAGCTGATTGGCCTAATACCCATGAGACATGACTAATTAGATGAGGGTTGATACCCACAGTGTGCGTATGTATGCAAATGAGAAACATTACAGTACTGTAAATGGCTGAATTCCAGGCTGACTACATTGCAGACGCATGCCAGATCTCACAACGCTTGGATAGGTGTTTAACATATCAGCTATATACAGTATGATATAGCAATCTGTGGTCTATCTGGGTGTCTTCACTGTCGTTCAGACAAGTCTCCCGAGTGGCGCAGTGGTCTAAGGCACTGCATCTCAGTGTTAGAGGCGTCACTGCAGAACCTGGTTTGATTCCAGGCTGTTTCATGTGATTGGGAGTCCCATAGGGTGGTGCACAATAGTTCTAGTGTCGTCTGTGGTAGGCCGTCATTGTAAATAAGAATTTGTTCTTTACTGACTGCCTGGGTAAATTAAATAAAAAAGTCCTTGCAGCAAAATCTACACTTGAAAAATGATCGTAGTACTATAATCCAATAGCTTTTTTCAGAAGGGCAAAACACAAAGAACGGTACTGTATGTCTAGATATGTACTCACATTAAACATTGTTTGCCACTCATAAAATCAGGTGAAAAAGTATGTGAACCCCTGTACTGTTTTCACTTAATGTTGTTGTTATAAAGTCGGAAATGTGGCAACATTTTTATTTATTTATATTGTCTGGTGATAGACACAACCTACTCCACTCTAACCCAAGTGGCAGAAAATGACATCGCTTTTTCTGAGGCTGCAATTCTTACTTTATCAGATATTTTTTGGATATGTGCCATCCCTATACTATTATGGCTGGTGAACTAAACAACAATATTCTGTAATTATATTTAGTTTTTAGAATTCCATTTTTATCTCACTACTGGGATAAAAATGGCCGCCTATATAGATGCAACGCCCCTGCTTTAGGTTCTCTCTCATGAGATCCCTGATAGTTGGTTGCATCATCTCTAGTCTTCTTTGATTAGATTTTTGTTTATAAACTAATCTTTATTAAATAGGTTATTCAATGTGCTTTTTTGCCTCTTTTGTATATTTTATTTTTTATCATTCAGTAATTAACATCACATCATTACATTGAGCTAGAAACATGACGTAGTAAACTCTTCTATATTTAATGTCGACCATGGGTCATGAGAACATGCATATTGTTAAACATTCAAATCCAACAAAAAACTGCCACAGATGAGAGAAGAGGTGATAGTGTTATTTCCCGTTTGAAAACTCTTAAGATTAACATAACATGAAACCTAACTATGTGTAGACATTCAGATGAGAAATTCTCCAGAAGTATGAATGGCCAGTCAAGGGCGACAAACGGTTTCAGTAGAATTGGTGTCTGTAAACCCAACTGAAAAAACGATAGCAAAATATGCAAGATGGTAAATTTAATAGCAGACAGTAGAAGGTCAAACACAGACAGTTGTATAGATAGTGAAATGATTAGCAGGCTTTTCAATAATGTGTGATAATACAGACAGTTGTATCTATAGTGAAATGAATAGCAGGCTTTTCAATAATGTGTGATATTGAAATCAGCCTCATGGCTCCAACTGACTTTACACACTTGGGCTGCATGCAGTATGTTAGATTACCGTGTCACAGTTAGAGCTTGTCGTATATGATGAATGGTGGCAATTATCGCTGTCAACAAAGAGTTCGCCATACTGCATTGTGTTAGAGGCTTTTATTAAAATCACGAATCTACAGCATAGATACAGACTCGCGATGTCCGGAGAACGGCTCCCCAGATTGCTATGGCCGTTCTGCCGTCTAATCGTTTACCCCCTATTTATAAACAATGCAAAGGGAGGGGCTACTCCCTTCTTCTGGCCAATCACCAGTCTCCCCTCGGGCGTCACCCTCCAAGCGGCACATTTCAAATAACATCATAAAACCTCCCCCCTCTGGCCTGAACAACCAACATTCCATTCCGTCATGAAAAACATTTAACAAAGACATAATCTTCAGATACGATATTCCCCCCCTTTCGAGACGAAATAAACGTCTCGAAAACAAACAGAATAAGATTATGACTATTAACCATTTATCTCATTGAATATTCTTAACCTTAACCCCAAAAACATTCTCCTCTAGAGTGTACATACCTTTCTATGAAATACCTGTTTTATGAAGTGTGAATACATTACTATGACCTATGAAGAAATCTCTATGGAGTGTGAGAGCGAAAAACTGTCCAGCAGCCATCCATCCATATCAATCAAGACAGTAAAAATTTCCCCACCCCTCTGCCCCAGGCAACCCGTCCGGTACTGTAACTCTACTCAATTGAAATGAAATGCAATTCCATAAACACATGTTTTCTAAATGACCGTTATAAAGTTCTGGTATATAGATATTTTTAGACTAATATATTCTGTGGAGACACGGTCTAAGCAGATTTTCATAATCGAGACAGAGGGTGAGGACTGAGGAGATGAAGGAACTGAGTAACATACTTCCTCCTTTCAACAGGTCACAGCTGATTGGCCGATGCCAAGGAGTAATCAATGAAGTGAATTGAACCACAGTGGCGTACCAATGAGAACTACGGAGTAATGTCCTGAATGTCTAACTTTACTGAACCTATCTAGTATTAAAATCGAAATGAGCATAAAAATAACACCAACAGTTGGTAATGAATGAACAAAACATGTAATAGACATTTGAGTAACAAGTTATGAAAATCAGACTCATTGAACGTAGAAACACAGAAATAATGAATACATTCAGAAATGTGGTTCTTAGTTACATACATAGTTTTTAGAAGATGTTTATGGTTCATTGGCGTTTAGTTGATCAGGTCCTTGTGTTAACCTTCATAGTACCCGGGTCAGAGCTGAAACAATCATAACTTAGACACAACTATCCACACAGGTTGTAAGAAGACAGAAAATAACGGAGATAAGAATGCGTTGTTCTGTTCATCAACACTAATAACTCTAGATTGGGACATTGGTTGTAGTGATATTGATCCTTCACAGACTGTCCCAGAACTGTTGCCCGGGAACGGTGCTTCACTCGAGTGGCAAGAAACAGAGAATGGAAGGGATGTGAAGGAGTTCGGATGCGGAGAGAAGGGACGAGGTGAA